TAAATTAAAAAAAACCATATAATTAATTATTAAATTAAAATTATTAAATTTTAGAAGAGTTTTTCTAATATATGCTTTAAAATTTAAGGGCAAATGTTAAACGTTTAATAAATACGCATTTTTACAATTAATTTACATAAAAATATAAAAGTTAACATTTATTTTATTACTATAGTCACATGGAAAATTTTAATTGATCAATTGATTATACCAAAATCAACATTTATATTTTCTATACAATTTAATTACAAGAAGCATATTTTTTACACCCTTAACATATCAAGATATAGTTTAGAAAAATTAATTTTAAAATTAAAAACTTCCCCAATATATGTTTTAAGTGCACACATTAAATACATTTATTGTATTTTTTTATCATTAAATATATTTATTGTATTTTTTTATCATTATTCACAATTATTATGGAAAAATAGCAATTTAGTTTAATTTTATAATTGTCCAACTAATATCATCCTATGTTGGGTTAGCTTTAATTTTTTTAAGTTGATCTTAAAGTAGTGTCCACGCAAGCAAGGAAGGAGAAAGAGGGTGCCAAGTTGACAAATAAGTTGCCACGTCGACAAATAAGTTGCCACATCATGCCCAATTAACACCATATAAGTGAAGTTGAACAAGAGTTGGGGTAGGAGGTTGATAAGTTAGCAATGATAATAATGTGGAAGCTAACTAGGATCCCCCAATGGGAAATGAGGAGAGTCTTTTTGGCTTGCACATGTTTCACGTGCAAAAGGCTATGTGCCATGAGCTGACTCCCTTCATCCAGCGAAGACAAACTATGCAGGTTTCTCTAGCAAAGTCTGGAAATGTAACTTTCCTAGCCAAGCCAAGTGAGTTGGACAACGATGATAGGATTTCAAGAGCCAAGAACAATCACACAACTACCAAGAAAAATGAACAGGCAAGAGCAATTACACAACTACCAATGATAGAGATATGTAAAATGGATGTATGGCCCTGTGTCCATCGTTGGGAGCTGTGTAGATGTAATAAAATTAGCTCATTGTCCTTTGATAAGAGCCATGTAGATGTAGCAAGATAAACTCTTTATCCATTACTAGGAGCCAACAAGATCTAGTAGCAAATATTGTAATTGAAGTCATGACCATCACAGATGTCCAACCATGTCATAGAGATAGATGTAGCTAAGTCTAGCCATGTATATGGAAAGATGGTAAAGTAGATCATGCTTGCAACATTCCCAGTGAAATGGGTGGCTACAACTTTTGGTGATGCTAACTCCATTGTGGCCATTCAACCGACAATAAAATATAACATGTGTGATACGGAAATAGATCATGAGGGCCTTTATTAGTCACAAGTTCAAAGTCAGTTTTGCTGATGTGGCGCAACACATTTGGTGAATTCTAAAGCAATACAAATTCATCCCGCAATAGCGATAATCACAAAAAAGTGATGTCGCCATTAACAGAAGGCTTGATTTGCTTGTTATGGTAAGTAGATTTCTATTAGCACTACTTCTAAATAAAGGGGTTGACATACCATAACAATCAAAA